CGGTTTCTGCATTCCACTGACGTCACTCTTCCCCTCGACGGACTAGCCACTGAAAGATACACATCGAGATGCACGTAGTCTCGATCACTTGGACGTTCCACACTTAACATAATCGTTCCTCTGTCCTAGATCGATCCTCTCTCCTGATCGTTTCAAGAACTTTCCAACGTCCAGACGAATTTAAGAAAACTCGTCGTTCTCGTCGTTTCCGTCTATCTTCTGCTTATTCGCTTCATCGAAACGTTTGCCTCTTTAGAAGCTCTTTATGAGGAAAATAATTTCTGTTTATAGATTATAACGAGATATAAGATTTCTTCAAAATCTCTGCCAAAGTTCAATATCTGCGCGATATTGATTTAACAATTTAATGTTTTTTTTATTTCTTTACTGGTTAATAAAGTATAAAATTTGAATATGTATAGTATATTATTTAATACTAATACTTTAATAGTATTACTAATATTTTAAAATTTAATACTAATACTTTAATAGTATTACTAATATTTTAAAATTTAATACTAATACTTTAGTATTAATACTTATTAAATAGTTATTTAATACTAATACGTTAGTATTATATATAATTACATACATATTAATTAAGTATATTATTTAATACTAATACTTTAATATTATTACTAATACTTTAAAATTTAATACTAATAATTTAGTATTAATACTTATTAAATAGTTATTTAATACTAATACGTTAGTATTATATATAATTACATATATATTAATTAAGTATATTAAGTATATTATTTAATACTAATACTTTAGTATTATTACTTTAAAATTTAATACTAGTGCTTTAGTTAATATTAATACTTATCAAATACTTATTTAATATTAATATTTTGGTATTATATATAATTATATATATATATAATAACTATGTATATTATTTAATACTAATACTTTAATATTATTACTAATACTTTAATATTTAATACTAATACTTTAATGTTATTATTAATATTTTAAAATTTAATACTAATAATTTAGTATTAATACTTATTAAATACTTATTTAATACTAATATTTTAGTATTATTACTAATACTTTAGTATTATATATAATTATATTATTTAATATTAATACTTCAATATTATTACTAATACTTTAAAATTTAATACTGCTGCTTTAGTATTAATATTTATTAAATACTCATTTAATACTAATACTTTGGTATTATAATATAATTGGTACATATATAATAAGCAAGTATAAAGTTAATATTACTAATAAGGTTAATAAAGTGCTGGAAATTTTAAAATTTTCCTTGCTCGCAATTTGTTTGAAGGTTTTACAAGATTTAAATACAGAATCCGTATTCTGCGAAATGCAAATTTTTGAAAATGCTTTTTGTCACTGTCCACTTTAATATTTCATCAACCTGAAAAATTATCTCATCTTAATCCAAAGGTACTCCTCAGAGTTTAAAGTCCCGCAGAGTGTCAAAAAATCAATTTTTCCAAGTGTATAATATATATCGCTCGTACTCCGAATCTCGAACAAATGGAATTGCTCTCAGACAGAAGAACGGCCTCTAATTGCATCCTTAATGATTTAGCTTGATAAAGAACGTTACTGTTCTTCAGTTGTTCACCGTGATCAACCGCTGAACAACTAAAGAACGAAAATATTACTCGGTATCGCGCTCGAGCGAAAGAGTTAATATGCTGAAACACAGGCTAATCTATCGAGCAATATTGGCTCATTCATAAATAAACGACGAACGATTAAAAGTGTGTTAACCTCCTGGATGAACCTTTCTTCGATTCGATAACTCGTCTCATTAGGCACAAATACCACGACAACAATAATCGAGTTTCGTAACGATCTTTCGCGCAACGTGATCGCCGTGTATACACGTACACATACATATATGTTTGTTCCTTATCGCCGATGGCAATGGTCACGGGATCTCGGCATACGTCGGTTTTTAAGCTTCGTCCAACGTAATCGAGATCCACCGAATGGTGGTGTGTATACCGTATAGGCAAGGAAGGCAAGAAAGGTCATGGCTCTGACCCATTTCGACGTTTTATCGGCCTACCGCGCGAGCAAAGTTCGCATCTCGCGGTACACGAACTGGCTCCGCTCTTCGTGGAACAAGATTACACACATGCGTGACTTCCGTTTTCTCGCCTCTTGTTTTCCCGCTTCTTTTTGCTCTCTCTCTCTCTCTCTCTCTCTGTCTTTCTCTGCCCTCCTTTATTCTCCTTTGTTTTATTCTCACGGCAGAATTTGAGAAAGAAAAAAAAAAAAAAAAAAACAGCCCGCGACTTGTTATCCTCGAAGGATTATTTCTACCTCCCCGCGGGAAATCGAACGAGCGTTTTCTAGGATTTGCGCGAGAACTAGAATTTTTCAAAGTGAAGATTAACTTTTGCAATTAACTTGCGTGGAAGGAAATTTTTAAACAAGTTTATTATTCGAAACTTGTATAATTGCAATTATTAGATAAGCGTTGTAGGTGGATAAAACGTCGTCTTCTCTAAATTTGTGTATTTTTTTTTTTTTTTTTTTTTAAAGTAAGAAAACTTTGAAATATTTAATTATGACAATTTCCTAGAATTTTCTCCAATTTTTTTCTTTTTTTTTTTTCGAAATCTCCGAGAATTAAAAAAATTACGCTTCAATTTACTAACTCTTGAGGATCGGCAAATTCACTCCTCAAAATTGCAATTAATATCAATTGCAGAATTAATTTTTATTGCGTAATTAATACTTTCCAAAACTACCCAGGAAATTTGGATTAAACGAAGTAAGGGATAAAGAAGAGTCTAAAATTAGTCTTAAAGTGTTATTAGATTAAAATCGAGTAGGTAAAATTGAAACTATCCGATGACCTTCGTCAGAAGGAATGTGTGAACGTGTCGGAACGATCCTCGTGCACGGAGGCTGGCGAAAGTGTTGGACGAGGGAGGCTGACTCACGACGAAATTTTATCTTGGCCGGCGATTTGCCAAATATCGAATGGTCGTTTGTTCGAGCAGCTTTCTCCCGAGCCGAAGCGATACTTCCGTTCTTCGATTCCTCTTGCTCGGCGGCCCATGTTGATTGCCAAGGAAAATTCGTTTAGATGCGGTTAACCCCATGGTACACACACACACACACACACACACACACACAGTCGAAGAAGCGTCGTGTCGCGTTTCTATCGATCACTTGTTAACCTTGGCAGAGTTTACAATGGTTGATGGCTTATGCAACATTTTAATCTCGATTTTTGTCGATAAATTTTCTTCCTACTTTTCGACAGGAAAACGAACCATAAAGTCTTAACCTTTTGCCACGCACGTCGAGAATTCTTTGTTCCAAAATTGTAATACTTCCTCAGCCTTAAGTGTATTCAAGTAAAACAAAATAGGCAAAACAAATAATAAATTTATTACTTAAATATAATAATTTTATAAATAACAAATAATAAATTTATTACTTAAGTAATAATTTTGTAAATAATAAATAATGAATTTATTACTTAAGTAATAATTTTGTAAATAATAAATAATGAATTTATTACTTAAGTAATAATTTTGTAAATAATAAATAATGAATTTATTACTTAAGTAATAATTTTGTAAATAATAAATAATGAATTTATTACTTAAGTAATAATTTTGTAAATAATAAATAATGAATTTATTACTTAAGTAATAATTTTGTAAATAATAAATAATAAATTTGTTACTTAAGTAATAATTTTGTAAATAATAAATTTATTACTTAAGTAATAATTTTGTAAATAATAAATTTATTACTTAAGTAATAATTTTGTAAATAATAAATTTATTACTTAAATAATAATTTCTATCCAGTAATATAACCGACGAGTACAAAAGAAAAAGAAAGCGACGAATTATTGCGTACGGTTCGGTCACTCGTTATGGTCCGCAATCAGTTGCCAGCCGCAACTTTGGTTAAAGCCGAAATCGTCACTGTTTGTCGACCTCCGTGTCCTTCATATTCCATCGTCCTTTTCAAAATTTGGGAAATATTATTCTTCATCCATTCTTGATCCATCGCGGTATTAAAATATCGCTCGCGTAAATAATTTACAGACTTGTTCTAATTTCCGACCGGTGTGTCGCGTTGAAATTCGTTGGAATTCGCGTTCTTCTTGTTCTCCAATTAAAACGCGAGTCAGAAAAGTTCGAGGAAAGAGAGGGTCCGAGCGGGGTCCGGTCGTTTATCAGTTTGAAGAGTGCTCGAGACATTTCGCGATTGTATATTTATGAACGTCGGCCGAACGACGCAGAACGTCTAGTGGCGTTCCGCCTTCAATTGGTCTCGTTCACGAAGATATTCGCGTCCCACGTTTTACACCGATCGTGTCTTAAACCTCGCTTACAAACGAGGCGTTCGATATCTTCTGAATTTTACCGACGTCGTTTCCGTTTGCTCGTCGTCTTGTTGCCGCTCGTAAAAAAGTCGCCCGCGGTTTCTTCGTTTCTGATTTATACCAGGTGATAGCGCAATCATCACGTTTGCCTTCGATTTGCGCCGCGTTCCAAAGCGGTGGATATCTCGAAGAAATATTCGCGTAATTGTTGTAATTGGCAGTTTTGCGCAGTTGTTCCTTGCGTTTGAAAATTATGGAAGGAAACTATAACAAGTCACTTCTTTTTTTTTCTTTTCTTTTGTTCCTTCTTATTACACTAAAAATCGTCCGCTTGTAACATTGTAAGATATTTCCTGAATCGAATCTCTCCGATTAAATCTTATTTCAGTAGAGGAAAAAGGCGGCTGCAAACATTCGAAAATCGGGAAAAACGCAAAAACTAGGGACTAGGTGCTTTCTCTTAAAAAAAATACCTATTCTTGGTGTATATGCTCGTCTTTATCCACCAGTCTGTGTAGCAAGTGTCGTTTCCATTTCCACAAACGGTGCGAAACTTATCCTCGAACGACGGTGGAAAAAGTTCGACTCTCTACATGTTCGCGAGATCTACATGCGAACGATCCAATTTCTAATAGCGTACACGTGTGTTTAGGTTGCAGCGAGGACGAGGCAGCAGGTGTCGTGAACGCGGAGGTGGGCGGAGGTTGCGCGACCGGGGCGCCAACCACAGGAAGTGGCGTTGGAGGTGGTAGCGGGACAGGTAGCGAGGTTGGCGATGGTGGTAGAGCAGGAGCAGGAACAGAAGGAGGCGGTGGTGGCGGCGGCGGCGGTGGTGGCGAGGGCGGATCGACGAAGCAGGGTGGCGCGAGGTGTCCCCAGTGCGGCTTCCTCTGTTGGGACGTCCACGTGCTTCAGCTCCATCTCGAGAACACGCACAAGACCTCGTACGCCATCGACAAGAACGATCTCAACGCTCAATTCCCTCAAGTGGTGAGTGAAACTAACGTCAAGGACGAGGAGGACTCCATTGTTCCTTGCGTGTTATCGATCACGCGCCACCGGCCTGCGGATTCTCCTCTTCTTCCCCCCTCCTCTCTCTCTCTCTCTCGCTCTCGCTCTCTCTTTCGTTTTTGCACAGGCTTTCCTTTTCGTTTAGAATGATTTTGAATTTTTTTGTAATAATAATAATTTCTTTTTTAAGCCTGTCGTCTTCATCTGCTCGAAATGGACGCCACGTTCACATTGTGTCAGATATTAAATATTAAATTGCTCGATGTAGATAGTTATTGAATAGGTGCGGCGTAATTTTATTACAATACGCGAACTTCGATTTGTTTGAACTACATTTGATGAAATGAGTCCTCCTTGCGTGCTGAACGAGGGAGGAAATTGAGTTTTTGAATGTTGAGAGACAGTTGATATAACGTAAGAATTGATATTCGTTTATTGGGTTTCATTTCTTTCGCAGATGTAGCACGCACTGGATTACATATGTACGTGATTCATCGTTGAGTTTATGTAAAACAATATTGACCGTCGCACCTGTGTTTAATCATAAGATTCAAAGTGACTCTCGTTCGCAGCGATTGAGCTTGCCTTTGTTTCTTTTTACGGGAGTCGACAACTGCGAACAAAGAGATTTCTCGTGATATCTTAATCACACTGAAATCAATTTGTCTCTTTAAATTCGATTTCATTTCTAGATGCCTCGATCAACGAAAATTCAAATGAATTGTAATTACGTAATAATGAATAATAATAATAATTGAATGAAATAATAATAAATTCAAATTTAAATTCCTAACAGATATATTATATCTGTCAGATAGATGAAACAAGACAATAATCATTCAGTTAAAAGATGAAAATTTTGTAATAACGTGATCAAATTAACCGATCAATTTTGTTGCAGTCCTGCAAGGTGTGCAGCAAGACTTTTGCTAACGTCTACCGACTCCAGAGGCACATGATCAGCCATGATGAGAGTGCCGTGCTTCGTAAGTTTAAGTGTCCCCATTGCGAGAAAGCCTTCAAGTTTAAGCATCACCTCAAGGTACTACGAGTGCACCCTTATTTTTCATTTCTCATTCGTACATCGTTATTTCCGTTTTTTCTTTCTTCCTTTTTGCTTTTCTTCTCGCGATCTATTCTTCACACAGCACTGCTTGACTTTTTGATATAGTTTTCTCCCGTGACCGAGATGAATGAACTTTTTCCAAATAGAATTTCTTTCTCTTCTTCTTTCTTTTTTTTTGTTTCTTCTTTCTTTCCGAGAAACAAAAATGAAACATTATTGTATCGTAGAGAGTGCATCGATCGACGTATTTGCACCGGAACGGATATTCCTTGGAAATTAATTTCATTCAGTTTTAGTTGATTAGATGTTAGCCTACGCTAGACCGCGACTGTTTATGCGAATTTACAACTTTGTTAGTAAAAAAAGATAAAACTTCATTTACTAAACGTTGCAATTTTACTTAGAGTATTTTATATAATTGTACATATAAAATTTAAAGTATTTTATTTAAGTATTTTATATATATTATAATGTACTATTAATGTATTATATTAATATGTTATAAATATATTTATAATATTTATAATATAAATATATATATAAATATAATATTTATAAATATTTATAAATTATAAATATATTTATAATATTTGTAATATAAATATATATGTAAATATAATTAATATTTATAAATATTCATAAATATTAATATATTATAAATATATATATATAATTAATATACATAAAAGCTACAGAAAGAAAACATGAGTAATAACTAAGTAACTTGATTAATTTTGTATTTCGACTGTCTTAACATTTATCATACGCATAAAAATTCGCTAGGTCTAGCCCCTCTAGCACTGTCGATCCATTTCTCTTGCTCCACTTCTCCCAGTCATTTAATTTCGTTGTTTATTTCCCCGTTTGTTTCCAGGAGCACCTTCGCATTCACAGCGGTGAAAAGCCATTCCAATGCAACAACTGCGGCAAACGCTTCTCCCATTCGGGCTCGTATTCGAGTCACATGACCTCGAAGAAGTGCCTGATAGTGAACTTAAAGAAATCCAGGCATACGAATGTGAGCAACGTGGACCGCGGGCCGAAAAAGGCGCAACAACCCCTGCCGCCGAGGCGGCGCGAGGTCGATCTGCTCGCGGCGAATAATAACACTTTCCTCCCCATTCTGCCGAAGCTTTCACCCTCGGATTATCAAGAGATACAACGGGAAGGCACGGGTGAGGGTCGATAACGCCATTCTATTTCACCGCAATCGTCTCTTTCTCTCTCTCTCTCTCTCTCTCTCTCTCTCTCTCTCCCTCCCCCCTCTCTCTGTCTATTTCACTCTCTCACTCTCGTGCACCTTGAACGATCCTGCCACTCCGTGAACTCGATTCGTAATCAAAACGTTTTGTAGCAAGACAGAGAATTCTACTTTCTGTCCTATTTGGCGGAGTTTATGTCATTCACTGTATGCAGGTATATCGATCCCGCTACTGCTGGAATTTGATCATTTGCAGAGATCTTAGGGGATTGCATTTATTTGAATTAGAATTCGAAGGAAAATTCCACTGCTGCTTTAACGATTAAGTTATCATTTAAAGTGACAGAGCTTCGAATTTTACACTTCAATGTTAACTCGAATGTTTGAAGCAAGCAATGAAATTTAATTCGTAACTTGATTATTGGTAGTTGAATATGTATTGTATACATGTTCGAATCAAACTTTAACGCTGGAGAACGTTGTGATCTAATTTTGTTCGAGTTTGATTTTAATTTTTACTTTGAGTTACGTTTACGAAATTAAACCTAGTATAATACTAGTAATTGAGATTTTCTGTCTAAAGTAACTTGCTTCTGATTTAATGCATAGAATTTACATAATATATAAAAACACATGTAAAATATAAAACACACAAAATACATAAAAACATATATAAAATATAAAACACACAAAATACATAAAAACATATATGAAATATAAAACACACAAAATACATAAAAACATATATGAAATATAAAACACACAAAATACATAAAAACATATATGAAATATAAAACACACAAAATACATAAAAACATATATGAAATATAAAACACACAAAATACATAAAAACATATATGAAATATAAAACACACAAAATACATAAAAACATATATGAAATATAAAACACACAAAATACATAAAAACATATATAAAATATAAAACACACAAAATACATAAAAACATATAAAATATATAAAATATAAAACACACAAAATACATAAAAACATATATAAAATATAAAATACACATAATACATAAAAACACATATAAAATAATGATAGAAATGTAACGATTACTAGTTCAAAGCTTCATATTTGTCAGTAGATTAAAATTAATCTTCAGCCAATCATCTACCTACTTTGATTATTTACTTGTTCTAAAATTTCCCTAACACGTGGATTAAGGAAGCCCATAATAAAGAGCAAACGATTGTTTTCAGGTATTTACGATATGCCGACGCTTCTGCCGCAAATGATGGGCCTCGGCAGCTACTTCCTGCAGACGTCCTTGGGCAAGCTCTTAAATCAGCTACATTCCAAGAGATTGGACGAGGTAGCCGAGCAAGTCGAGTCTCATCGGGAGCTTATGAGCCCGTCGACGGCGGACTCTGAGGGCACGGAGGGCACAGAGGGCAAAGAATCACCGGCGCCGACCGACTCGCAAGGCCTCGACGCGGTTCGACGTATCCTCGAAACGGTGAACACCTCCGTCACGAAGCAATTACTCGAGGCGAACGTGAGGAAATTGTCCACCTCGCCGGCCACGATGAAACGAGAGTTCGAGGAGGATTATCAAGTAAGATGAGACAAGTTGATCATTTGTGCAAATTCAAGCATATAATAGTTCAGTAATGGCGAACCTTTTTGAGAAGTAGGTCAAATTTTGTTCATTATTTTTTTCTTAGTACTAGCTCGTGGGTCACTTGGAAAGGGGGAGGATGGTTAAAAACCACTTTTTTTTGGTTCTCACTTTTATAATCCTCTAAATAGTTTACGTTCCCTTTTTGTTTTGCAACTTTTACTTTTGCAAGCGAGGAGCAAAAAATAAATGTCGACGCCAAAAAATTGGTATAAAAGGGGTGACATTATGCCCAGTCACCCCTGCACTATACATTAGATATATATACTTTATTTCTTAATATTTTTTATTGTCTGTTCTCTCTTTTATTATATAAAAAACTAGCAAAGCTATCCATTCTGAGAATGGGATCTAGTGTGTTTTTTAGCGTTTATTACATCTGTTTAATCGTAAGCGCTATATAAAATTTTTTTGGACATAAGTAACTCATGTAACATTTAAGACTTAAAATACCTATATGTATACATAATCAAGTCGTAAATCCTCCATAAAACACAATTGTGCATTTATTTCTCACTTTTAAGCTCTAATCGAACACTTGTAATTTTCTTAACATTTTTTGAAAAGAGGGGTTCGAAAAATAATTAAAATTCTTTCATATATATGATGATAAGTTTATAAAAATCAACGCGTGGGTCGTTTAGAAAGTCAGTGTTTGACTCGCGGATCATTGGTCTAGCCTAATGCTGCAGAATTGAGGAAATTATCGCTTTTTACTTGCCTGCCTCGTTAGTGAGATTGAAGAAGTGACAAATTAGAAACGACGTGTACATACGTATTGAAGAGATATCCTTGCATATTTTTGAAAATGTAAAACCGAGCAAATTGCAATTCTAAACCTTGTGAAGTTATCAATTTAATAATATCATTGATCAGTGCACCCGGATGTTAAGATACTTTTCACGACGAGAAGACCAAAACTTGTGACAATATTATTACTCTTCTAATTGGATCGTGTTTGCAAAGTGACGGAAAGAAGTTTGGATGTTAAAGATTGATTTATCGAATATTGATTGATATTATCGAACTTTTCACGATTCTGTTGGCCACGTGGTTCTTTGCCTCTTAATGCTGATCGACATGTCGTAAACTTGTTAGGCGAGTGTCATAAACAGTCCAAATATAACGCGGTTTGGGTCAATACTCTGTAAACAGTCTTCGAATAAGCTCATTCCAAGGTTGTGTAAAAGTCATGTTACGACATATATATTGTCTTAAAAATGTCAATATAAAGCACAAAAGATCACAACTAAAAAATGACGTGGAATTGTAACTAATAAGTTTATGAAACTTCTTTCTCGAGTCAAAATATAAATTCGCTTAACAAAATTTTTTTCTTTTTAATAATTCTAAAACACTATTGAATGTATATCAGCGCTTAGTTAGTGAAATTTTTTAATACTATTGGTTTAGAATTTTAAAATTACTGTCACTACTAATATACAGCTGAAACAATCAAATCATTGTAATTATGTCGTAAATCACAAATTAAGAAATTAAACAGTTCATTGTGTAAAAGAATACGTCATAATCTAACAATCAGTAGATGCTTTAAAATTCCTGTCATCTCTTAACCTGGTGTGCAATTCAACAGCAAGTATCCATTTGTATATATACAATACACCCAAGTTATTTTGAAATTTTACTTCACCAGCTGCTAATGTAAATCCTCCAACATTATACTCTAGGGCTAGAATATCAGAATACCATTCTTTTTCTTTCAATATTCATGGTATAAATGGAATCCGTGCGTAAGCAGTTCTCACTTGGACGAGGACGAGATATAAACATCACCCGAGATATAGTTTTAAACTTATATATGTATTCATAATTAAGCTATACTCGGATAATTCTAATAATAGACATATCGTATAATCGAATCGTTCTGCCGTACGCGATCTTTAATCGCTGATGGAATTGTCGAATCGCTCCTGTTATTATAAAAATTCGGTAGCTAATTGATGGATAACACGATGCAGGATCAAGACAGCGAGATGTCCAGCGAGATGGCACATTATCCAGACTGGTCGGATAAATATGACTCGCAGAGCGAAGGTTTGGCGGCGAAACTCGAGGACGTGAATCAGCCCAGCGCGAAATCGGGGTACAAGAGAAAAGCGGAGGAGGTGGACGAGGAGGACGAGGAGGTGGACGAGGAGGACGAGGAGGACGGCACACAAACGCACAATGACAACGGAAGGAGAGTCAGGGCTAGATCGTTGATAGACGACGAGCAATTGGCCGTTCTCAAGGGTTACTATGCCATTAATCCTCGACCGAAGAAGGAGGAGATCATCAGGATCGCCAACTATATCAATTTTCCTACTCGTGTAGTACAGGTACGAAATGAATCCTGTCGAATTAATCTGTTTCCTTATCGTATCGATCACGAGCAAGATGATAAATCTCTAATCTGATGATCTTTGATAACTTTCACAGAGTTACTTTCTTCCAAATTAATGATGTTTTGTACATCCATAAAGATTTTTTTTATAGCAATTGCGTTGTAATTTTATGCAAAAGGAGATATGAAGCATATAGTACGTGTCAATTAAATGTGACATTGCACTAGGCAGGAAATCAATCGAAATTTATCATCGTGAATGTATTATTTAATGTTCATCAGGTTTGGTTTCAAAATTCCCGAGCGAGGGACCGACGAGAATCGAAGATACCACCTCTGGTACCATTGGCAAATTCAACCAGTCAGACCGCGTACGAACAGCCATTAGATTTGTCGAAGAAAGAGGCACTCACGGACTCGGCGTGCAAAGACAATGAAACTATCTGTGTAAAGTTCACGTCGTCGTCTCCTGATGAACAGAAGAACGACAATGCGCCGTCGCATAATCAAGACGCGGATGATCTGGAAGATTCGCCGTTGATCATCGACGAGGAGACCACCGATTCTGTAGAAACGAAACGCACGGCCCCGAATGGGAGAGAAATTATTCCAAAGGTACCTCCAATTGTGTTTTTGCGTGTGAAAAATTGAAATAATTTTCTATTCAATTGTCTATCCAATTATCTACTTATGATTCAGAAACAAACGACATATAAAAATAAGGTGTGAGAGGCTTGCTGGTAATGTCGAAGTGTATTATAAGATTCTGTATTTGCAGGGTCAACCTCAGACAAATGCAAAGAACGAAAGTGAAAACGCGAGACAACCGGAGGCTTCGCCAGCGGGGGAAATCGAGCAGGGTGTCTATTTCTGTGATCGGTGTGACAAAACATTCTCCAAGCACAGTTCCCTAGCAAGACACAAATACGAACATTCCGGTATGTAATTGCTAAATGATAACTGCCAATGATTATATTTAGGCAAAATAGTTATAAAAATATAGTTATAAATGTCAGAGTAATTATCAGAAGCCAAACTGATTAACTTCATTCTGTACATACATAAGAAAATTTACAGATGCATAATTAATCAACTTATCACAACTATTCGCAAGTATTCAAGGATAATTTTAAATTTAAAATAGTTTTTGCTATTGTCGTTTATCTCTGCATTTGAATTGATCGGTATAGCTTCTGGTGGTTCCAAATCAGTGAATAATCAGATAAATTCGTACAACGTAGACGATATAGAGAGATCGAATGAATGTCCACAGGGCAAAGGCCGTACAAATGCGTGGAGTGCCCAAGGGCGTTCAAACATAAGCATCATCTGACCGAACACAAGCGACTGCACAGCGGCGAAAAGCCCTTTCAGTGCTCCAAGTGCCTCAAGCGCTTCTCTCACTCCGGCTCCTACAGCCAACACATGAATCATCGTTTCTCTTACTGCAAGCCGTATAGAGAATAGAAGTATTCCCGCTAGTTGAAAACGAAGACTCTCTCGCTGAATTAGCTAAGTATGGATGTACGGTCCTTTCTTCCTTCCGCGACACAGGACTAAGCATTTAGAAGAAAAAAAAGAAAAAAGAAAAAAAGAGGAAAACAAAACAAGCTTGGAAACAGGAAATAATATTATCTAATATTATCCCGCGCGTGAAGAAAGAAAACGCGTGGGAACCAGATTAGAAGAACGGGAAAGACTTAACGACGAATACTTCCAAACGCGATCTCGCGCACGTATTTTACACTTGCGGAAAGGCTTGCGTGAAACAGAGCAAGTGATAATTAGAGCCTAAAAAAAAAAGTGTATTTAGCTGAAGAAGGAAACGCGTGTTGATCGAGAAAGGAAAAAGAGAAGAAACTGTGCGATTTCGAAGAAGATGAAGAAAGAAGAACAATAAGAAGATCGAAACGACGCGAATGAGATTCGACAATCGCGACTCTGCTCGAGGAAACAGCAGCATTTTAACATCGTCACAAAGTGTCACGTGAGTTTCTTCTCAAGTTCGTTCTTGCGCTGAATCAAAGATTTAAAAAAAAAAAAGAAAGAAGAAAAGATGGAAGATGGAAGCGGAAAAGTAAAAAATAAAAAAGAAAAAAAAGGAACGAATTCGTAGCGGCCATGGGTCGACGAATTGAAAAAAAAAGAAGAAAAAAAAAAGAAACCAAACAATACGCAACGGTACCAAAAATGCATAATGCAATAATCTATTATATATTATATATAATATACATAATATTTTAGTATTTTTATTAACAAGATTATTATATATACCATGACAATAATAAGGAAACTAATTAACGTACAAATTTGTTAGCCACGTTCGCACGGGGCACGCGATGTAATTCAGTCACGACGCGCAAATTGGCGAAGGGATATGACGACGCGATCTCAAAGTTTCATTCTTTTTTTTTTTTTTTTTTTTTAATCGAATTGCGCGTATGCAATTGGATATTTCGTAATGAACGAAACAAAGTTTGATGAACGATAATTATAACTATTATACGAATGGTGTTTGACGATCGCAGGAATAACTTTCTGAATATTTTTACAAGTACGAATAATTCATTTACAAGTGAATGGAAAAGAAAAGAAGATCAAAGACGATGAAAATATAGCGTTTCATTTCTGGGTGATCAGTGAGAATAATAACTGGGCCCAGCCTCGATTCCTTCGTTCGCTAGTATTTTCGGACAATATACGAAATTCGAAATTAATAAAAATATTAAGAATGCAAACTATAAAAAATTGTAATTGAAAAGAACAAAAAAAAAAAAAAAAAGAAAAAAAAAGGAAAATAACGCAAGTATGTGAGCTGGCGTGGCCATTACGCGGCGGTTAATCGATGAGCCTCGACATGGTGGACGAGGGCCACGCGACCAGCGCGGGTAAATTAGATGAGCTGCCAATAACGCTCATTACCGTGGCAAGCAGAGAAAACGCCGCAGGCCAATTATGAAACCTGCGAGCAGAGAGTGGCGAACGAAACGGGGCAGAGCGGTACCGTTTTGGGGTGGAAAAACAAGGCTGGTTGAAACGGGAAAAACCCCGGTGGTGCGTCCGGTGGAGTGGAAACGGCGAGGCGAGGCGAGGCGACGCGACGTGAAAATGAATTTGCGGTTCTTGGCCAATGGCTGAGGCCGGCGTCGGGCTGCCTCGTTATCAGATGGACGTCAAAACGCGCGTACGATAAAGCTTGCAGTCGCCATCGGCCGGCGAGAATGGCACCCGCGGCCCCGCCCGAAAACCGCTGTCCCTTTCACGCCTAATTCGTCCGACCGCCGCGTAAATCGAATTAATTGTTATTCAGCTTTCGATCGTATGATTTCGCGTTTCGCGGACGCGACCGCTGCGTCACCTGGAACGGCGCATTAGCCGCGGCAACGTAATTGCCCCGGTGCGGTGTTCACCGACGCGACCTTTTTTCACTCTCCCCCCGATGACAGCACCACGCCACGCGCTCGTTACGCTCTCTTCTGAGCATGGAAATTCCGTAATTAGGCAAAACTGATTGTGAGCTAATACCTAAGTCCGGAATGTGGATTTTCGTTGGCTGTTATTCAGTCTGTTATTCCCTCGGATTCACGTGACAAGATTCAAGTAACAATCACAGACCCAACGTTAAGGCCAAAGATACGTATACACTTGTGACATGGATTGTGCCCGAATTCTGATAATTGTTTCTGATTGAAAGGGTAATTCAAGGCTCGATAAAAGGGAGGACGCAACAGAGTTACAGTTTCAGTTCTTCAGTTCAGTCATGTCGGAGCAATAAGCAAATATATCGACGAATGCGTATATGAGACACCTATTATATGTATTATTATATATTGACCTTTGCTGTGTGTGTGTGTGACACTCCGCGACAGTCTTTTGTATCACCTCGTACGATCAATCTAGTCTGTCTTTTGTTGGATCACCTCATGCAGTACAAGCGTCTTGAAATAGAAAGTCAAATATACGGATAAATTCAAAAATTTAAAAAAAACAGTTCCGTTGCTTCCGTCTACTCAATCCAACAAGTCATAAAAGGGCAGTTTCAGTTGTAAAAATCAATTGTCACAGTTAAACAATAAAAAAAAAAAGAGTATGACAATAATTATACAGTTATAGTGTTTCTACGTCAACAGTTACAACAATCGTCGCTTAGTCAAATAAGTTGACAATGAATCACAGGTTTAGCAAGATCCATCACAGTCATTCATTTCCCACATCAGTGGGTGGTCCGTCGAACCCCAAGATCCCCAAGGGACACACGCGGAGATGCATGATCGACACCAATCGTGATTGACCTTAACACCCAGTTCAGTTTCGTCAGAAACGTCAGAACGATCCTTGGAAAAGCAGGCGTCCAGCTGCCAGGCGAAACGTGAATCGAGTCTAATCAGAGGAGAAGCAACAGCTTCTCTCGCGGTTTTAATAGCGGCCTCGATCGTCATTTCAATAACAATTTAACCGGAGCCAGTTACCGGCTGGATTTTAGCCCGCGGCGCGAAATTCGTCGGGGAATCTCGCGTGAAATTCGCAACCGCCTAGCAATCAGTCGCCATTCTCTCGTTGTTGCGTCGCAGTTACGTGCCACGCTTACGCGCGATATTACGCGAGTATGTGGTCGGTCGTCGTGCACCGCATCGTTCGCCGGACCTTTCCTCCGCCTCCTGATTCCAGGCGACACGTACGCCCCCAGAAGGGAAGCTGGCTTAATTAAGCGAGCACCGTCGTCGCTCGATGGCCTCGGCTTATTTCAATCTCCAACCCTCCGTTCGACCGTCCTGTTAAAACCTACTTGCTAGTTTTTTCTTCGACGCGCCGCGTTCTGTTGCTCTTTCTTCGATAATCTATGGCCAGAATTTTCGGTGCCTGCCTCGATACCACAGTTTCAATTGAGAAGCTCAGCCGAGATTAAGATGGGACGTACAAAGTACTTGTTAAATTAAGATGAATCTTCGAAAAGAAAAAAAATTATTATAACAAAGAAATAATAATTTATAAAAATATTATATTTAAAGATGTAAAAACTTTGTAATGTAAATACAGTTACAACAATATATAAGAAAATAATAATAATACATGCATAGTATTTATTTATTTGTACATGTACGTATGTATGTATACAAATTGTATAATATGATTACCTTTTAATTTACAAAATTAATGTTTTTCTCAACTATGTGACTTAAATTTTTAATTATCTATAATTCTCAAAATTATTATTTAACTTAAACTATTTTTTGAAAATAATGAAGACGGGGAAAACGAGTCTAAAGTATAAAGTACTTGTTAAATTAAGATGAATCTTCGAGAAGAAAAAAAATTATTATAACGAAGAAATAATAATTTATAAAAATATTATATTTAAAGATGTAAAAACTTTATAAATACAATTACAACAAGATATAAGAAAATAATAATAATAATTAATTCCTTAATTGTATAAATACATGCATAATATTTATTTATTTGTACATGCACGTATGTATGTATACAAATTGTATAATATGATTATCTTAACTTTTAATTTACAAAATTAATGTTTTTATCAACTACGTAACTTAAATTTTTAATTATCTATAATTCCCCAAAATTATTATTTTACTTAAACTATTTTTTGAAATAATCGGGATTAAGAGATGAAGATGGAGAGAACGAGTCTAAAGTACAAAGAAAATCGCGATACTCGCACGAAGATAAAAGTAGAATGTCATCTTCGGTCGAGTTCTGACAGTAGAAATGTATTATATTTATATTTAACCTGATCTCACCTAACTTGACCTACTCTTCAGTTTCTTTTCGACGTGGCACGCGTTGCTTTTTCTTCGAGAACCTCGGGCAGTGTTTGAATTAATTGCTGTGATACAGTGATTTCGATCAGATGCTCGTAGATTGATCCAATTAGCTGAGATTAAGATCAAAACGAAGAGAACGATTCGAAAGTTGCGAAACTTGCACGAAGGTAGTGATATAATGTGATCTTTTGCCGATAAAATTTGGCAGGAAATTTAGCATTAAATTTATCGTTTAATCTACTTGCTAGTTTTTTCTTCGACGCGTTGTCCTTTCTTTGATAATCTTAAAGCAGAGTTTGGATTAACTGCCGTGATACAATGATTTCGATCAGATGCTCGTAGATTGACCGAATTAGCTGAAATAAAGGGAACGATTCAAAAAAGAAAAATGTCAGAAGTACAATTGACGTTCTCGTTTAATAAAATTTGACAGCGAAGTTACATTGAATTCGTTCCTTTTTCAACCCACTTGCAGATTGTTGTCCGCGATCCCTGCCGGTTCGTGATGTATTCTTTTCGACTACAACGTTTTCGCATTTCTATCCTTAATTACATTGCCCGCGGTGGAGTTCTTTTATTTCCGGTCTTCTGCTCTTTAAGGACCAACGAAACGTTTCATAATTACGCTGTGTTATCTTTAGAATGAGAATTAAAAATAAAAAAAAAAAAAAAAAGGAAGAACGAAGGAAAAAAATAAAAAATGAGATACGCTCCTGTACGTATTATAATTAAAGTTACATTTTTGCCCGTGTGTTTTCATGAATTCGCCGACGCGATTGTGATAATTCAGAAAAATGGGCAGAATGATAAAATAACTCGCGGGTTCGGGGTTAAAAATACGTACAGATCGCTCGATGGAACTTTGGAAAATAAATTTGAAACGATACGCATACGTATATTTGCCGTTTTTTCGTACGAGATGAGCTTTACGCAATTAAAATTGTAGCATTTATTCAAGTCAACTCTCCCTTCAAACGTAAGTATCTCCGTACTACTTTACAGAGAATGAAAAAAATGTAGATATGCGTATAATAAGATTTAGAAAGAAAAAAAGACAAAAATAGCAATCTCGTTGAAATCTTTAGAACGTAGCTTCACGCAATTAAAATCGTAGCATTCATTTAAGTTAACTCTCCCTCCAAACTCGCGTCTTTAGAGATAAATAAAAAATATACATGTGTATATATGTAATTAGATTAAAAACAAAAAAAAAAAAAAATGGAGGTCTCCTTGAAATCTTTAGAACGTAGTTTCACGCAATTAAAATTGTAGCATTTATTTAAGTCAGACACAAGTATCTTCGTACCACTTTACTACTGGAGAAAAAAAAAAAAAAAAAAAATATATATATATATATATATATACATATGATATAATTGGATTTTTAGAAAAAAAATCTCCTTGAAAGGTAGTTTATTTCAGCAACAACCACACGCTACGCGATGCAACTTTAGTGAACGCCAGGCTTTTTTTTCCGTAATGAAATTTTCACAGCTTGTATCGTTTCGGAGTTCCGTTTCGGTCCAGTTGCGAGAACGATCTGCTTTTTCTATTTATCACAGTACACTGCGAATGAACGCGCAACTCTCCGTAGATCGCGAGAAATACGCTCTATTTGATCGCGTCGATTTATAAACGTCATGGGAACGGCGAACGTTTAACGCGAACAATATTGGCTTTATTGTTTTCCTTCAATCTACTCCGTGTTTTTAAATATATAAATATATATATATATATACTGGGTGATTCACGTAACTTGCACACCTGAAATAACTTATTTAAATTAAAGCGTCTAA